TTCGTATCTGGGAAAACATTGGCCAATTCAGGCAGTGGAGGCAGGTACTGCTGACCTAGCCATTGTAGAATCAAAGTAGAAGATTGTTCCATGAAACCTTGCCACATTGGGTGCCCAGAGTCTGTGCAACAATCGCAAATCAGAGAGATCCGACATCGCCACTTGCATCGCCAAGACTTCCACATTTAAAGCCCCTTGGCCAGACAGCCTCCAACTGAATGGCACTGGCCCCAGCAGCTTCCTCAGATTTTGGAAGAACATCAAAAAGAAGCTTTCTTGGATGGCTTCAGAAAGGACTGGATGTTCTGCATGGATTCCAATGTCAATCAAACACAGCATCAAACGGAACTCAACTTGTTACGCCCTGTGTTCCGAGACCCACATGGAACCTAAAAACATCTAAAAACCACGTATCTGTGGAGGAAGCTAGCCTTCGAAAGGTCCAATTTCAGATTCCATGTCATTGATCTAAATAATATTCTTCCTGGGTGTCATTAACTTGTTTGATGACTGAACCATATTGAATCCGCATTCGGCACAACTTGATGGAACCATGCCACACACACACACGACAAAATGGGACAACGTCTTGACGTCTTGACATGTGGGGATGGGTCAAAACATGGAGCCCTGGTTCCACCATGTAACCTGACCTTCCAGGTGGGTCAACCAAAGGTATCCTGGTGCCATGAACCACGCCATGTTCCTACAGACAGTTGCTCTCTTCGCACTGATGCCTTCAGCTATTCTTGAACCCGAATGCTCTCTCGTCCTGAAGAACTTGATGCTAAAGCGAGGAAAGCATTGAGGGCTCCAGTGCTCCGGTGTGTTTTGCGCCCGTTGAGCTGCAGAAAGGCTCTTAGCGGATTCATTGATCGTCGCATATGGGGGGAAAACTTCAACTCAAAGAATCTATGAGATTGACTCGGCCAAAATCCCTCACCTGATGTTCAGCAACACACTGAAGGATTATAGTACTGATTTTCTAAGTGCAGAGAAACCATCTCAAACCCACGTGCATGCCAGCCCACGTACGTGAAACCAGCAAGTTCCAACACTAGACAAGGTGCGTAGCCCTTGACCGTGTGGTCAACCTGAGCAGCGGGAGGGCGGGTTCCTACAGACTCTGTTGGGTGGGAAAGAGGCGGACGATGGTCTGCACATATGGACCGCTGGGCTGGGGGACAAGATGGACAAGGGCATGCAGAAACCACAAACAAAGTTCATGAGCCACTGAAGACTGAATTGATTTTTAGCATCCAAACTTGGGGTACAAATCCTGAATCGCAGTGCTGAACTGTCCGCCCTCTCCAAGAATGCCAGCAACAGGCTTCAAACTTCAGCACCCCGCTGTGATCCACATACTAGCGGTTGGACACCTACCCAATGTCTTCCAATCAACCTGCACAACCCACCGTTGGATGGGCTGGGACTACAGCCCTCCGAGGTGCATTCAGCAGGCCGCCGAAGCCCGTGTCGCCGTCGCAGATCAGGGGCGCCGAGGTCAAAGCGCTCAGCGTGCGGACCTGGGGAGCGCGTTGGTCGGCGGCTCCGCAGGAGTTGGTCGGCGGTGGGTGAAGATGATGTGGCGGCTGTTAGTGTTGGGCGTCGGGGGGGGCATGTGGGTCATTTGGAGAGGGATAGGATTGGGAGCTTCAGAAACTTGTTTGGTCCACATGGTTACGCGCAGCCCCTGAAGCGCAAGAACATGGTATTGCCAGCAGAAGCGGGGAGTAAGGGAAGAATGAGGCCCTGTGAGCAAAACCATTGAGCACTGGCGGCACAAGTTGCTTTGCATGTCTCGTCCCATTCATTCTTGCTTGCTGTTGCTTGATTCTGGTGACTTGGTCCAACTGATGAAGGCTATTTTCCACCTGGCTTCATTTGGCCCGGGCATCATTCAGAAGCGATACTTCAGTCACACCAATTATGTTTGGTTTCTGAACAGTTCTGAACCGTCACCAATTCTCCCCCCAAGTTGACCGGTACGCCAGTCTACACATCATCCCAGCGGCGCGTTCCACCATATCCCGGTAGCTGGCAAGGCCGGCATCTGGGAGGCCCAAGTGCGACCCCACCGTGCCAAAGCCTTCAGTCGAGTGTGGAGAGTCGTGGCGTTTCGTCGCCGACGTTGGAGATATCTGGCGACCGGCCTGAACATGATGTTGGAGCTTTTTGATGGGTTACCCAAATCTCAAATGAAGCCCCTGGTAGGGGACATGAAGCTCCTTTTCCCGAACATGGCGCATGTCATTTCTTGAACAAATCACAAATCGCCGACCAACTGTTGTTGAACAGCAACAGCCGCATGGATGTTCATGATTTGTTCATGACGTTCCTTCGACCCACCCGTGAAGCCTCTTGTGACTCTTGTGACCCACACTCAGGGACCTCCAAATCACATGAAAAACCCGGAGTCAAACCATCAATTCACCCTTCAGTGCGCAACCTCTTTTTGAAGTTGCAAAAGCTCTTGACACGTTTGACTCCCAAACTTCAACCCTATGGCAAGAACTAACACTAACACCAACTACCAGGACCTTCCCAGTGACCTCATTCTGGGATCTCAAAAGGTCGCTGGGAAGGTCCTGGTATGTATAAGCATGTGCAAATCTACTTCTCTGGATTTGAACATGCTCGCCATACTCTTCGGACCCATCCGCAGCTCCCAAAACCAAGGGATTTAACCATAGGGAAAATACCAAACATCACCTGGTTTTGGTCCAAATCCCCTGACCGTAGGGGTTGGGTGTTTAAAACATCCGGATTTCACCATAGGGTTTTGGTCAAAATCACCTGATCCACAAAACCAAGCATTGGACCAAAGCAAAGCGACTGCCCCATCCCGCCGACCGCCCGCGCGGGGGGATGGAGCAGCTACGTCCTGCCAAGTCGCCCGTCATGTAGAGGGCTTTGAAGCCAACCTACACATGTGTCGCTGGTGTACTGGAACTGTGGGCAAGAGCAAAGGGAACTGGCAAAAATTGATGAAACACACTCCCAGCATCTTCCAACTGAAATACCTCGAGCCCCAAACCGAAATACCTGGCTTTAGATCATATTTAACATAAGTGTTAGCACCATCCACAGCTCACTTTTCCATGTTCCACAATCACAAAAAGCTTCTCAGAATCCACATGCATTCATCCCACCAATCCCATTCCTTCGCACTCCCGCCTGCTCTGCCAAGCGAGTGGAGATGCCATCCTTGGCGCAGGCAGTGACATAATTAAGGACCTTCAGAGAGGTACAGTCACACCTACCTCTTCCACATACTTTTTGCACTTCTCAAGCCATTGGTCTAGCTAGTAGCCTAACCTCTTCAAAGTATAGGATATTGCTGGATCCTGTCAAAACATGAAACATAATCAGAGTTGATAGTATCTTGATAGATGTGCGGATAGATGTTGATGTTTATGGTGGATTCCACATGGTGGAACTACAGCGGCGTCAGAAGTCACTGGATCTCAGTATCAAAACCATCTCGAGGTGTCTCCTCTGGATCCTATATCCTTTTGGAAGAAACACCGCCACCACTGTGACGCCACTACCCTCACAGTATCTCTGACGCAAACAAACATCGATCACGTTGGGACGTTGGTATCATCCGGTATCTCACTTTCTCCTGGGTTCTCAAAAGCTAAGTCACTCGAATCCGAGAACAAGCCTCACAGTAACGTTTATATATGAGTGTATCGTTCAACAGATCGGTCAAGGTACAAAGACGCCGGGAGCCACGAGTAGATCTCCCTTCCGCAGCAAGCCTCAGGTGTTTTTTGATCTGGAGGGGTGCTTCGTGCTGGCTGTACTTACTGTCATAAGTGACAGCCAATGAAGGAGCCCCATTTGATCAGCATCCAAACTGGAAAAGTGACTGTCACTGTCAATAGTGAAGTCTGCCAATACTGAACATGAGTGTTTTTCTTTGAGCCTCCTTTGGAAAACAAAAGAAACACATACAGTACAAAAAAGAGCACGAAACCGAAAACCGTTGCAAATAGATTGGGTCCAAAAGGTAGCTTCATGGATCTTCACGGTCCAGGTTCCTTAAATGGTCCAATCCACCAGGATGGCAACCATCCGTGCTGGTACATGTGGTACACGTGGCTCTCTGCTAAAGTCTCCTATCTACAGTACCAAGTCACCAAGTGGTCTTTCTTACCATGGCACTACTGCTTTCTGGTTTTACAAAGTGCAGCGCAGATGAATGCCGATGAGACACTCTTTAAGCTCGGCTTGGAAGACGACATGGTGATACCCACGTCGACACAAAAGCTGTGGATGAAAAGTGATTGCAGGTAGTGCAAGTAGTTATATGTTTGCAAGTGAGTCTGACAGGAGAAGGAGGTCATACGGTATCAATGACAACTGACTCCTTCGAGAACAATGCATGAAAGCTAGGAGTTTGCCATATGTGATCTGCCTTGAGCTGTTCCAATCAGAACAAGCTCTGGACAATTGGTTGTTCTGCCTGATTGCACATGATTTAACATGAATGTCGTATTGAACATGATGGTCAAATTGATGTTCAATCATGTTCCGAACATCTGATTTGCCTTCAGCCAAGGCCATCCAGCTGCAGAACCTCCAAACAAGGAAACCGCTGTTCATCGGAAGTTTGGCCGAACTCGGTGTCTCGGTTACCTTTGAGATTCACTCACATCTGTCAACGGATTCTACAGGCGAAATCTACACCGGAAGAAAGCAGGTCAAATAGGTATATAGTGAACACGGACACATCTGTACAAATAGCTCTTCCATTGTCACCAGCATCCAATAACTACTCCGCGCGGCCAAGTTCTGCTTTCTCCGCCACGCAAATCCTATACAGAAACTACCAGCACCTTCCTTGCGGGGTCACCTGGTTTCGCCTCAGCCCACTACTTAGGGCATTTTTATTGGACACCCCTTTTTCAGGTCCAGGTAGGTCTTAGGTCTTCCATCTCCTCCGATTGCGGCACCGCACGCGGGCGACCGCGGACAACGGTCGCCGGCAAGGCTTGCGTCTGCACCGGCAGGAGCCGTAGGAGTTCCTTCTCGGTGTCCATGTCACTCTCCAGCGTCATGCGGTCCTGCGAAACGCGACGACGAAAGTGGCCCAGGCAGTGGGGGTGGCGTATCAGTGAAGTGATGTGGAAACAGGTGTTCCCGCAACATGAGCGACAAAACAGCTTTACGCTTGAGGCAAACAATGTAAAAATCATATTGAACATTTTTGTATGTTCCTTAGATCTACCATAATTATTAGGCAAACAATATAGTATAGGTAAAGAATACAGGGTCAGTAAGGGCCACATGGTAGATCTAAGGAACATACAGAACCTGGCCCTGGGCGTTTACCGGGCGAACCAGCCGTGCCACGTGCTGCGGGGTGGGGCCGGTGGACCCCGTCCTTCGCCCCATTCAGCTCGCTGACCCTTATCGTCCGCCGCTCAGCCATCCGCCCCCATTCGACGAGGCACAGTGAGACGACATGCTCGAGAATCGGGGATCGACTCGCCTGGAAATTCAGCAAAGGGATGTCTTGCGTTCTTCTTCCCAACATGCAACCGGGTCTCGGCAAGTCCTGAATGTGGCGCTTGGCCAGGTAGACGGTGGTGTAGGACAAGGAGTGCCTGGGCTGGAGAGCCGGGTGCCAGTGATTTTATAGGGTATTAGGGTGTTCAATTGATGAAGATTGTAACATTGTTCCCGTAGGGATGCAACTACTAAATGGATCATCAAGAACACCTTAAACTATCTTAAACTCCTTATGTAAGTCCCAATTGTCTTGCAAAAATGGTGTCACACAAAGGTAAGAAGAGACTACTAGTCCCTACAAATGACCCTACCATTCTGGTTGTTAAATGTTATTGATAAATACCATCTACAAATCATCTACACCACTAACTATTGCACATCAATGACCTAACCAATGACCTATCGGTACAGTACATGTCCTTCGCTTGACGAGTGGCATCTCATTGTATCTCTGCAGCAAGCGCTTGTAACCTCAGCAGGGGCACTCTCCCAATTCTCGCTCTAAAGCCCCTTAGATCTGTGCTCTGATTCATCGGTGCGCATGATGTGACATGACTATTGGTCTTCATTTCTTTGGGGGGGCTGTCAAGACTATCCATATTTTGGTCCACCGTATTGGTGGAAACACTCCTTCTTATTACGTTATTACCTTGACTCATCTTGACTCTCCTTTTATCAAGAGACATCTTACTTTTTGGACTCTTTTTTCCAAATGCTTTGTCTCATCGTTGAACGGCCACGTCCTCAAATTCGGACTCCAATGCTTTCTCGCACGTCCTCTCTCCGCTTTGCCCAAACAAAACACGCCCGTTCACCGGGCCGAACCACCTCGGTCTCGCCCGAACCGGCGGGCCGTTCACCGCCGCCGAGCGACCTGATTCCTTGTCCATGAGCTGCTGGAGCTGAAGCATCCGAGACGTAAGGCTGGAGACGAAGATGGACATGAAGATCAAGGTGAAGCACGCCTACGACGGACCACGTCTTTCGTGGTCGATGTGTTGGTGCGCGTTGGTGTGCGTACGAGTGTTTTTTCTTTTCGGTGCTCGGTGTCTGTTTTTGGCGGACTAGTCGAGTGTTTGTGTTAGTGCTTTTTGTCTTGTTGTTTTTTTGTTTGTGGTGGAGCAAGGTGGATTGGAGGTACTATGGGTTGATGCTGGGGATGGCTCTCAAAGTTTGGATGGTTGTGTTTGGCAACATGACTGGCAACACGATTTGCATGTTGGCTTGAAACATCTCATGATGTGTGGTGCATCTCCAATGCTGTTGCTGCAATTTGAACTGAATATCCCAAGCTCAAAACATCAACACAAAGCTACTCCCTGGTAACGGACTAATGCAAAAAAAGACGAAGCCATGGCAGCCATGTCTGTAATTGTTTTAACATGTGTGTTTAATGTGTTTAATGTTAATATATTAATGAACTTAAGGCCTCCCCAAGTAGGCCAAGCATCGTCTTCTACAAGCTGAACCCGCTCTTGTTCCCTGGACCCTGGTGGCGCAACGGTGACCCGCGCCGTGAAGGCGACGTAGAGCATCTCCGTGAAGGTCCGGTCCTGGAGTTGCCCCGAGAAGCATCCAAGTCCAGGACCTACAGTAAAGCAAGACTTCCAAGTCCAATCCACCAGGATATCAATCAGGACTTAATCATAACCAGGATTGGATCCCTACAGTAATCCACCATAGATCATCATATATCAATCATAGATCCAATCCTGATGACTTCCACATATATCAGAGTCTTTTCGCATCAGGACTGATTGAAGTCCTACTGTCCATCGTAAAATGTATCCAATCTTAAGTCAAATGATTTTCGGCAACCCCCCACATCTCTCACGACCAGTGATTTTTATTCTGAGTTTATTTTTTCAAAGAATATCTACAGTCAGAGCACAAAAGGTTCTTGCTGCGTGAAGTAGGTTTAGTTGTTGTTGTTGTTTTTTTCACTATAGACTCTGCCAGGCCATACCCATCACCTCGCTTTCCCTTGGTTTACCTCTTGACCCGCTCATCTTCCCACTCTTCGACCCAAGAGCGACACCGACACCGGCGCCCGCCGTCCTGTCGGTCCGTGCGGCCATTCAGCTGTGATAAGGTCCAACGGGCAGCGGCCACGTACCTGTCGTTCCAGCGCACTCGTGACCAGCACAGTGAAACCGCACAGTGAGCCCACGGTGAGGCGCACGGTGAGCGCAAATGGGATGACAAGTGATGCCGAGCTCTGTGGGAGGGGGGTTGGTTTTGTATAATATATATCTACCAGCACCCTCCAACAGGTCTCCTCTGGAGGCTTTTGCTGACTTAAAAGTCGCAGGTGGTGACCTGTTGGAGGGTGCTGGTAACAGTCCATTAGGTTGCTTTTTGGGGGTCAGTTTTTTTGTATATCGGTTATTATATAAGGTTATAGGATGTTAAAGTTATAATTAGGTAAGACTATGTGGTCATCTTGCAGTGATGCAACTAAATGTGTGTCTTGGCATTGGTGAAGTTGTAAGGATGATGTGAAGTTGGCATCCCAAATCTTCTTCTACCTGCTCTCGCGGCCACCCAAGACTCTCGGTGTTCTTGCGAACACCCGGCCTGACCACCACCGTCTCGTTTGCATAGCCCTCCTTATCGATCCAGCCTGGACCAGAGGCGTTGTCAAAATTTGGAGAGTTCACTACCACTGAACGCATGACTTTACATCTCAAAATTAACCATCAACATGAACTGAACCAGCAAATCCACGCCCGCTCCCGCTGTGTTGAGCGGATTGAGAACCCACCGCAGCAGCAAAGAACCCACATAGCTTCTGGCAAAGTAAGATTCACTTGGAGGACAGGGCTGCTGTTCTTTGCCCCCTCTTCTTGTTCTTTGGTACAAACCCCAAGCACAAGCTTCTGCTCTCCCCAAGAAGTTGACATGACAATCACAAACGAATGTCAGGCCTCGCAAAAAACAGAAACAACGGTATCACGGTGACATGAACCCAAATCTACACAAACAGATGACATCAATTAGAACGCTAAAAACTAACATAGACCCTGAAAACCCACTGGTGCAGCTAGAAGAACACAGTCTTTGAGGGTGCCAGTTTGGAGTGTAGAACACGATGCCTTGATCCCATTCGATTCCTCACTTCGATAGTTAGCAATCATCCCCACTCGTCACCCACTCACACCCGAACATGAGGGTCCTCCTTCAGTGTAGAGACCCACGAAGTGCCAGCCACACAAAATCACGTGCACGGCCTCTGACGCGTATGCTGACGCAATGTGAGCAGCAAACAAAACCATTGAAATCCACCCGAAACAAACCACCGGAAGCAGCACATGAAGTGTCAAGATATAAAGTCTATAAGAAGTCAAATGGTCATATAGAATCAATATGTGAAGTCCATTTTGAAATGGTCATATGATGTCATATGGATATAGAAGTCCCATGGGGCACAACAAATGAATGATGAATATCTCGGCCACTGGTCCACTTGGAGACTCAGGAGGCACTGCTTGCTGCCAGGCGACTCCCTGCAAGGAGGGTGTTTCGATGTTTCAAGGAGTAGAACCATGGCAGCTCTACACGGTAAGTTGACCGTGTCTGGTAGTCTATTCTCCCCGGTTTTGATCCAAAGCCATTCTTGGAGCAACCCAACAAATTGAGCCCAACCCCTTAGCTACCTCTTGGAAATAAAGCCAGATTTGTTTGTTGGGGCAAGAAACGACCACTCCCCCTCTTCCTCAGAACAAAAAACAACTTGCAAGAAAAGTTTCGTAGTCCGGTAGTCCAGAATGTCCTAAATTCTAGCTTTTCCTCAAGAAAACCGTTCAGCAAAAGAACAACGCACACCCAAAACACACATGGCAATAACCGCTCCCTTCGCCTGGACCCGCACCGCCCGCTCGCATCTCGCCGACTTCCCCGAAAACGACCAGGCGGCCAGGAGCAGGAAGAGGGTCAGCTTCAGGACCTGGGTCTTTGGCCGGTTAGCGCCGGGCGGGAGGACGACGGAAGAAGGACGGTGAGAAGGATTCCTATAGAGAGCTCTATTTGTTTGAAATCGTCTTGTAGAGTTTGAAAGAGATCTCAAACTGGAAATTCCAGATTAGACATTGCTGTTTTCCTTGGTGCGAATTAGGGTGCGAGAGTCTTCACTGGGGGAATTGTCCTGAGTCGACCCTATACCACTCAAAAGCTAGCTCGAGGCTCGTATGAATGATGAGCTGACGCCTCCATTCCAATGTCCGTTTAGGGACTAGTCAACTATGTTATCCGGGTCCCTCACAGCTTTCACAGCTTCACAGCTTGACAAACAGGTATTTGAGAGCAACGTTGGCCTACTAGAAGGTGACGCAATGGGGAGAATACACTCAGCCTACAGCAGTCTCTCTGCCAAAACGTATTCGAACCCTCTTTGGATGACTGATAATCAACAAGACATGAAAAGAAACACTCCAAAACCTACAATTATGTTGTCCAACAGCCAGTGGTAACCAGGCAAAAAACATGCACTGATATTGCTGCATTATGCAGTATGAATGCATTATGTCCATTATCCTCTTCCTGGCCCAACCCCGCTGGACCCTCTGTGCTCCAAACCGTCCTCACTCTCTCCGAGGTTCCCGACGTTGAAAAGGATCAGCAAGCGAAGGGATCCCGTCATCTCTGTGAACTGGGCGGGGCAACGAGTTGTGGTCGCTGCCATGGGTCCTATCATTCGACCTGATATTCTCCTAGCTTAAGGTAGGTAAGTCAAGCTAACGATTCTGAGCTGACAATTTCGATAATCCACCACAGATGTTTATGCTGGTGGCCCTCTACTTGGTGGTTTTGCTTCCCCTATCACGGCGGCCACTATCCACTTCGCTTTAACAGCTGCATTTGCTTCATTCCACTTCTGCTAGTTCTCTCCCCACATCATCCAAGAAGACTCACCTTGCGACCCACAACTCCTGACCCCCCCAGCCAGTGCGTGACAACCTCTGCATGGCGAGTCCGTACAGTGCAGGGGTTCCCCATCACTTGGGCATTATTTGGCGGCCCCATCTCCATGAGACACCCTTCGATCGAGAAGAGAACATCCAGGGAAGATCAGCTCAACCCGATGGGGGCCCAATCCCTCAGATGCCTCCACTGCTCGGCCCTTCGGTCGCCCCGGTCCGACCGGTCCCCAAACGCGCGCCTTCTGCACGGTCTTCACGAAGCGGGCGAGCCGGATCAAGCGAACCACTCGCACCACCCGGAGCACGCGCACTGCACGGGCCTAGCGATGGAGCGGGCACGTGTGGACCACGGACTGGGCGACGATGCAAAGCATGCATAAAAGCATGAAGAAAAGCCGTGGGTAGGGGGCAGTTGCTGGAGTTCGAGGGGTGAGGGGTGGTGGAACATTGGGTTTGACAAATCGTTTTCTGGGTCGGGTAGTATTTGAGGTAATAAACAAAGTAACGATTCATCAGGTTTGCTGTGTCTGCATCACATGTATCACCCATGACTCCAAGCTCTAAACGACTACTTGTTTGCTTCATGTTAAACTGTTATACTTTCCCGCCCACGATTTATACCAACACCACCCCCCAAACCTTCCTGGCACCCCAAAACCTTCCTCCATCCTCAGTCGCCCTCCTCCCCGTGCCAGTCCTCACCCTGTCCCCCTCCCGGCCGCGCGGAAGGCGTTGAAGCCGGCCACGAACTCAGTGATCCGCGAGGCCCACTCGGAGCCCACCTGAGTGCCGCACGGCCACTGGTGGCTTCGGAGTGGTGCGGTGGTGGTGGTGCGACACCGGAGCGGGAGTCGTGGGTACATCGACGACTCATGGGTCGCTTCAGGGTGGACTCATGAGTTGATTCATGGGTCGGACCAGGTGGAATCTTTGAATCAGATTCGCCATGTGACACATGTTTGCATGGAGTGAATCAGTCTCTTCCTATGGGTGATCGACAAACAATATCATACAATCAAGAATAATCAATATTCTACATGTATATACAGTAGACGAGAGAGAGAGAGAGAGTGGTCAAAAGATGCTCTGACTCTGACACATCTTCTGCCCAACTGGTCTAAAAGCGTCTAAGAGGAAAAACAATGCATCAAATCAGATCGCGTTGGAAGTTCTTCTTGCACTCCCCGCGAATGAGCCGGTAGAGCCGAAGTACGTTGGGAGGATGGTCTTGATCTGGTACAAGTAGACACAAAAGCCCGCGGCAAGGACGACTGCTACTAGCTACCAAAGCAAACAAATGTTCCAACTCGCATATTCCTGATATGATCCCTTTCACAAAAAAAACACCCTGCACGGGATTACTGCAGAAAAAGAGCATACAAGATGGGCTTCTGCACCTACCAATTCTCTACCTGACCTTACCTCTGTGTAAGTCCTTAGGCGCCAGAGGCATCCCATAATCCTTCTCTCCCGCAAAACGCTGGGTCTCAGGGCAATGGCAAAGTCCACTGCAAACCTGGACGTGATGAGAGTGAGCTACCAGTTACCAGATCTACCTGCAGATTTCTATTTGCCATGCAAGGATATAGTGGTCCCCTTATTGAAGAATAACGGTTTCCAATACATCCTTCGTCGGGATCTACTTTTCTATCTATGTGATTCTATTTAGGGGGTCTATACAGGCTTAAACAAAGGATCTTTGCCGCCAGCCTGGATGCTCTTATACTTGCTTTCTAGGTACAAACAGTTGGTTGTCTTGGAGTCTTGGGACTAGAAACCGAGGGACTGAGGAGTCCGGCTGTGCTTTGTATGGGTCCCAACGTACGTGCTGTTCATTGGAGAATGGCCCTCTGAACATCCAGAATCACAAAACAAACATGGAAAAAAAAACTCCAGCTCTTGGGGGTTGTACAACTTCTGCAAAGCCTCCATCATGATTCTTCCACTTTGGCAAAGCCTTGCATCGGCTCGATCTCAACCCGGCCCAGCAAAAAGGCGATCAAAAGCAGCCGAGGAGCCATGTGGTAAGGTAGTGTATGGCCACCTGCTCCAAACACTGGAGGAAGACTGAAGGACGGGAGGACGGGAATTGGCAGGAATACACGCCCGAAAACTTCCTAACATGGACCCTGTGGTTTTGGCACCCTGAAAAGACTGTTTTCCTCTACAAACCAGTGGTTTTCAGGTTCCATGTTAGTTTTCAGCGGGGTAAATCTGAAAAGTAATGAAGCAAAAAGTATAAGATGGGCTTGGATGAGGGGAAACTGCTGTCTTTCGGATGCATTGTTTGTTTAAACCAAGGCGTTGTCAAGCCATGCATGATTGATGATGATTGCGGGTTAGTGAATCTTCAGTAGGTGCTGAGCAAACTATACACCTCAACAAAGGGTCTGCATAGCTTTTATGGATGTTGTTTGGCGGATCATTCCCTGATTGATGCCTTGAACTTTGTGAAACAAAACGGCTCGGCGGCACGGCGATGCGTGGACATGGCCTGGTCGAGGAAACACGTCAGGGCTTGGTAGAGACATCACTGCCATCCCGAGAGTCCAGTCATGACTCACTTTACCCACTATGACTATCAGGTTCTACATGATGTTAACAGACTGGTCGAATTCTCAGGTTTACAGAACGGTTTAACAATGGATTTTCTATCATGAAGTAAAAAACTGTCTGTGACCCACTATGACCAGGTGGAGTAAACTGAGTCAAGACAAACGTTCTGGGAGCGGTCCAGCCTTCCGAGGACTCATGATGACGTCGGGTCCCACGGTGTACCCAGTCCTGGGCGGCCGCGGGCGGCCCGCGAGTCACAGAACAACCACCGGTACAGTCTCCCGCATGTGTGGATGATGTGGATCGCAGGCATAGGCATCTGTCAATGCAGCACAGATGCTAAAGAGCAGAAATTACCCCGGCCCGCTGAACACTCACATGGACCCTGAAAATCACTGGCTTGTAGCGGCAAAAGTTTTCCACCGGTCAATTCTTTGGTTCCTTGTTAGTTTGCGTCCGAAAGACGAAGGAGACCAAACGGACGACGTGGCGCCGGTGGCATCGCTTTTCGGGGTCGCGGAGGCGCTCTCAGCGCTGGACAGGAAGGTGATGAACATATCCACCTCGGGACAGGAAGACGGTGGCACGGCTTTTTTCGGGCACCAAGAGGAAGTCACAAAGTGAGATTGATAGCGGTGATAATCTTGGGATGACAAAATGGGGGCCTAAGAAAACTATCATTAAACATAAACAAAAATTGTCAAACCGAGATTGTGAAAGCGCGAAGCTCGTTCAATGTGTCCTTACAATCCTAGGAGTTGGAGTACAACTTTGCCATTTTTGTTCAGCATGTCCAAGTCTAAGCCATTCTAAGCCTGTTGGACCAGTTGAGGAATCAGCTACGTAGTGGCAAAGTACAAACCTCCAAATTTGTCCTGCCTGACTGTCAAAAGCAGCTTCTTCATCATTTCATGGAATATACACACTTTACCAGGGACTCAAAAGGACAACAACAACAACAACAACAACAACAACAAAACAACATCTTATTTCACCACACATGAAAAGAAATATGACACGCTGAATCCATCCATGTTGTCATTTGTGAAAGGCATTGGCTTCATCTTTCACCAACCACCCAGGTTTCACCACCTCTCATTCCATCGTTCACTGCCTCATCGAGACCGCTGAGGCCGCCACCGACCAAAAGAGGGTACAAATCCACTCGACCTCGGCCGGTGGCACCGCGTGGTCGACCGGTGTGGCCGACCGGCGCGGGAGATAAGAAGTCCACCTGCCGGGCAGGTCCTCCCTTTAGTAAGGTGGGAGATGAGCAAGAAAAACTGTTGACGTTCATATCAAATTGACTTACAAATCATTAAATATAGATGAACTATAGTTGATTAATATTCTAAATCGATATATCTATCTACTTACAATTTGACTTTCTACATCCAACCATCTCTCGTGCAAATTTCGCGGAGATCTTTGGATTTTCATTCCAACATATCAAAAACGCCCTTGCACCATCTTGCACCAGGCTAACCACTCAGTTCAAAAAAAGAAAACAAACAACACACCGGCACCCTCCTCCACCCGTTCGTCGCCCAACCGAACCTGCACCCGTCCGTCTCGCGCTGCGCGGAAACCGCTCGCTCTGCGCGGAAAGCGCTGCGGCAGGTGACCACGACCACCTCGGCGACTTCGGAGATGCCCATGCCGTAGATCATCGGCAGCATCACGATGTCCACGCCTCGGGTCTGGTCCGTCCTAGACAGGACCTGTCTAATATAGCATGTATTGAACTATAGATCAGTTGGAGTGGGTTGATCTGGGGTCAAATTGAATCTACAGTGTTTTGTTGGACCGGGTCGGGGATGGCTTCTTCTTATTTTGCGGGGTGATTTTGGGAGTCTGTGGATGTATAGTGGCTGGATCAACTGGGTAGAACTATTCGCCCCGCCCCCAGTGGGTCGAAAGCTGCAGGCTCCAAATTGGGGTAGGTTGACTTGCCTGATACTCGATTCTCTTCATGTTTGGTGGTCAAGCAAGGTCAATCTATTTTTAAGCCCCGGCCATATAGCCTGTTGGGACGCAAAGCTTAGGGGTCAGCACCAGTGGCGCCAAATTCAGTATCCCGCCGCCATCTTCTATCAAGTCACAGTCAAGAGTAGTTAGGAAAATATCAGGACCAATCAAGCCGTGCATCAGATATCAGCCTTTATGCAGAATCAGAGGCGGACCATATTATAACAAACGTACTAAGAGACGTCTTTCCAAAGGGATCGTGCGACCCCCCAAAAGAGAGATCGAATCTCGGTGAGAAGTGGGAAGGCAATGAGTTTCATCGATCAACTCCTTGTCCTTTGAATTCCTTTGAAGTCCACTTTGACCTTTAGCACCTTCAGGCCATGAAACATCTTGAACCATCTCTCATTACCCACCCTGTCGACGAACCATCAGCACCGTGGTGCTTGTCGCTGGGTTTTTGGACCATTTCTTTCATGTGAAAGCTCAGTTGGGATACTCTTCAAGCAGGAGCGCCACTCAAACAATTCCCAAAACATCCCAAAACCATCACTTATCATATCCTACAATTGGGGAGTCCGCACTGATCATAAAGACGCTGATCGAATCCCAGATGAGCCTGGGAATGCCACGGCACCGGACGGGTCACATGCGCAGGTCAGGGCAGGTAGAGACATGAGAGAAAGCCAGTATAGAGCGAAAAGGGACACCCCAACAATGAGAAGTAATGTTTTTTCACCACCAAGCACCGGTGGTGGCTGCTGTAGCTGCTCATACTTTTCTGAGCGCGGCCTTGTACTGAACTCAATTGGTTGCATGTTTTGCGATAGTGTTCTCTGTTCACATTACAAAGCCTCTGGTACCCCACGTAGTGGAATGGCCTAAAGGCGCGTGCAGACAGTCCGCAAGATGTGTGGTTGCCTGAAAGTAGAAATTTACACAATTTACACCCAGTCAAGCCACCAAGGTAGGTTGGGGAGATTACAGTATTCCCTCCCAACAGGGAGTTGACTGTGCCCTGGGCAGCAGAACAACCCAAAGGTAAGACTTTGTTCATCCTTTTGCCTAATGCATCTGCAGCTTCTCCACTGTGACAACACCGAACCTTCTTGAACAGGTCATGATGGCTCAACATGATGACGTCAAGTCAGAAAGAATCGCATGCAATGCATATCATCAAAATATAATCGCACATGTGTCATCATCGTTCAGGTGCTTTTTTGCAACATCTGCGACATCGGCAAACACCACCCACCGCTGCCCATGACCTCTCGGACACCGGCCAGCCTCCGCCGAGACTGAGGATGCATCATCACTCTGCGCAGCGGACGGGGAGGCTCCGGGTGGCCGCGGTTTGGGAAGAAACATGGCCATCCACTTCCATGAGAATTCCAGGTTAAAGCTCCTTGACCAGGAGATATACCGAGTGGTTCCTCCTACATGATGTCCGCTACATGGTGGACTGGTTGGGCTCTAGGTGGGGGAAAACGACCGAGCCCCATATCATGGGATCAGTGTCCGTCGAGTTGATCTTCCTTGAGATGATCATAGAAGACCTACACTCCCTGGACTCATCATGGTTTCGTGGAGTTCCCAACAAGTTTGGTCTTTGGATTTCAGGATCCTCCAAAATATTCGAGGCCATGCCATCCACGAAACCACCATAATTTCAGGGAGTGTGAAGCACATTGACCAAGGTTGACCGCGGGGAACAGGGACCCAAAACATACCAAACCCATGTCAAATAAGGTTGCTTTGCGGTGCTCTTCAATGCTCATAATCCATGCATCTGGACTGGGATGAGACAAGGGAGACCTTCATTTCAGTATGCACGGAAACAAACACTTGGTAGGATCAACATTCCCAACTTTATGCAACACCCACATAGGGTCGCTTCACACTGAGCCAACAAGGGTCGCATCTGCGAAAACGAATTCACAATATAAGACCCATCCCAAATGGATCAACACAGGGCGTACATCTTGAACCCAAGCCACCCATCGCTTTGGGAAGGATTACTCGTGTGCTAGTGAGGTAAAATAACCCACAACCAACAACCAACAACACCAACCACAAAGAACAAGACAATATACCATATACCCTGAACTGAAACACCGACAGCACCTGCCTGAGGCTACAACACCGGCAGCCGCAGCAGCTCCTCTTCTGCTCTTCACACTCGGAAGCGCCTTCGACCGAACCGAACTTCCTCGACCACCGCAGCAGGGACGAGAAAGGAGGGCGAGCGGCGAAAGCATCCAACACGAGGGCCGCTGCGGTAGAGGAAAACCCATTGGAAAAAGAACCCTAAGAAGATGGAGGAGACGAAAAGCCAGGCTGGTGCACGCCATGAGAGCTCCACATGTAACAATCGCGAGGTCAAGTGGTTGTGGGTCAAACACCCGGAGACCGAAGCCGTGTTAGAGATCCCCTCAGGGTTCACAATAGTTCACTGACTGTTACAGGTACTAGATGGTACTAGTATTGGGACAAACTCTAGATATGTATTAGAAGAGGGAGACTGACCACAGGGAAAAGCCATAAATGCACCAGGGACCAAGAACCCATTGGGAGGTCTCCATTCAATAGAAACCCATCTTTGGCCGGATAATACGTTACGTCGACAGCAGCCTCTGGGGATGTCTATAGAGAGAAACTGCCAACATGGAGACCGACACGCCACAGCTCCCAGGAAGCCGCGAAAAACAACAAAATACACCTATTCCCAGTGCCAAGGGATTCACGCACAGGGAACATACCCAAAATCACCTGATCCGCACCAGGTCATATATCAGCTATAACGCCTGAACCGGGCTCGCGCTTCGTCACGAGCGAGCCCAGAACGTCGCGGAGATCTGCTGAGCCCGAGGCTCACCACCAAGGGTTGACCTCGGTGGGATAGATACATCGACTGGAACGCGCCGGACTGGAACCAATGGGGGAAGGGGGTGCGCCAGGGGGCGCTGGAACCTTGGCGCGTTTCTGGGGACCATTTCTGTCCCCCCGAAATCCATTGGACTGGAATATATGTTTCGATTCTATGCATGGATGGTCTGGGAAGGAAGTTGCAGGGGCCTCGCCCAATGGTTTGTGTATGTCTGTGTCATTTGTTGTGATGTGTTCATGTTCTATCCGATTGAAAACCAGTGGTGCCAGTGCCAGTAAGGTTTTGTCCGAAAATGACCGGCATGTCCACAAGAACACTCCCTGTAGCCTCACTGGAAGTTTCTGTGGACATCTTGCAGATGGCAAGCCTACTGGAGACGGAGACAGTTCAACGCTCGCAAAACTTCAAAATGTTTTTCACCCAGAAAACCAATGGCTTTCACCCCTCACCCTCATACACAAACACACGCACAAACCAAACAGCGTCCTATCCGTCTCCGATTCCAACCCGTCTCCCATTGTCAGCGAAGTGGCGAGATTGCAGGTCAGGCTTCTGCGCATACTTCTCTGCACAGTCTTCCTAAGCCGACTGCATTCTGGACCGGAACTTGAGGCTCAAGTAAATGGAATGGTAGATGGTAAATGGAATGGATGTATCGATGATTGCTCAAAGAAACCCTTCCAATTCGAGGTCTCTATCACACTCTACATCTACTGGAGGCCCCTTTTGTCAGGATTCTAGAGCTACTGCCAATGGATAAGCTTACCAAGATGCCCCCTGCCTCTGGATGGTGTTGGCCTTTTGCTTGATGCTGGGACCACTGTGAGGTCTTCTAGCAGTCGGCCGTCGGGGGAACTCCTGTGGTCGCTCCGTATACCCTGTACTGGATATACCGCCAACGCTCCCTGAACAAACGGCCGAGTCAACTCTGATCGAGCCGCTAAGAACTCATTGAAGCCGTCCTGATCTCCTGTGGTGGCATGGCGCATATCAAAACAGGCGTCAACTGAGCGTACCGTTCCATGCGAAGAACCATGGAGTCATGGAGCTTTCTGAGATGCTAACGTTGCAAAGCAGGACAGTGGTGGATTTGGTGGATTTGGGGCGCAAATCGGTGAAGTCTGGATATTAATAAATCCCATGAAAGTTGGAACCGTCCACCGGTAGAAATCTATTACCCCACTTAGTGAACTGACATGGATCCTGGAAAACCACTCTCCAAAAGTATGTTCCCCTTTTCCAAACATCAAATTTTCGTGCACTTCTCAACTCACATGAGAGGGTTCGGTGATGCTTTCGGTCTCCTGAGTGCTCTTCCATCCAGGCATCTCTGGGGATGAAGCATTGGGAGATCTGCCGAGACCTCACCGATCATCGTCACGTCCGTGCTGCGAGGAAATGAAGCACACCGGACCGGCATGTGTGTGATGTTGAGAAGTGGAACCGAAGGATCCCAGGATAAAAAACAAGTAAACAGTAAACATACTTAAAATTAAGCAGTTCAGTTTGAGGAACACAACTTGGAGCGGTTGGGATCCAAGATGTCTGCGTGCATGATAAAGTACCCATGACTTCCTGTTGAGTTGCTGTCCACCCTTCCAACCTCTCCTACTTTCTGACCGAACACGTCACCAAAAAGAAAACAACAAACACCACTCACCCCCCGCAAACCAAAGGCCAACAAAATGCTGAACACCGACATCTTATAGCATCTGTGTTCCCATTTGCCTGTGGCTCATGGCAGCAGACCGAGGTCCCGGTTGACCGACCCATCATCGACGACGAGTCGAACTCGCCTCGCTTGCTACATGGTGGACGACCGGTCGGGCGAACATGGTGGAACGACCCATCCCCGAGTCCGTGGAGTCACTTCTATCTTCGATTTCATGTGGCTTACAGTAATTACACACCAACAACTTGACACAGTGTCCATCTCTCGTTAATGTTGACCTCCTATTTGTAAATGGCCCGTGAATAGTACTAAATCTTTTCAAAAATCAATTTTAAATGGCCCTCAAATAATACTAAATGTTTTCTGGACCTTGATTTTCAGCTGTTTCCTTTCCTTTCATTGTCCTTTCCTTTCCTTTCCTTTCATTTCCTATTCAAATCAAGATTTTCTAGGATTTTTTCAGGAAATCACATTATTTGGGGCCCACACTTGATCAAGGGGGGGGGGTTATTAATAAGAGGCCCACATTACACTCACCATTGCCTGTCTCCAGCTCCCGCCTGCTCTCCTACGAACTCCACACGTTCGGACCGCGTGAAAACCTGGGTGTCCCTCGCCCAAGGCCCAGCGTCTTGGTCGCAATCAGAGTCGTGTCCTGGCCGAGTGGACGGCCGTCCTGGCCGCCCTGGACGGTCGTCGGGTGAGCAGTTGATGCTGGAGATGCTTGGAGTTGATTTGACGCATGAAGTCCAGTAGAACCTGGTAGGTAGCCTGGTAGTAGCCTGGTGGGGGGTGGATTCCTTCTTCTAGTTGGTTCACCTGGTAGGAATGATCCTGAAAGAAACCATCGAACTCCCCCCGTCGAACAGAGCCACATCGCGTTGACGAAGCACGCAGGCGCATGCACGCACCGGTCCTCCGATTGAAAGGAGCGGGACCTCCTCAGAAGGACGGAGGATCCGGACAGCCGTTGTGGCTGTAGAGTGGCAACAACAACTGTTTTTTTGAAGAATTGAACATGGATTCTCTGAATCTCAGAATTGAATTAGGATTCCTGCACACAACCATACACAACCTTTGTTTGGGAGATTTGAACTAAACTAAACACACAGAAATTCAGTAGAACAGGAAGAGTTCGGCAGAAATCCATCCAAATCCCCCGAAGAAGACCTTTTAGATCTATAATATCCCCCCAAAATCCAAATGAGCTCAGTAGAGGCCCATCGCTACAGGAATCGGACACTGGACTCGGTGAGTGCATCCAAAACCCAGGGCCACCGAGCAGGAGCTCCGGTTTCCGTTCGCCTGCGCGAACGGACATTCTGGGTTCGTCGTGACGTAGGACGGTTCAATGCCCTTGGACAAAAAAGGCTTGCAAGTATTTCAGAGTATTCCTATAAGAGTGTGTGATGTGTGTGAGTTTTAAGTGACAATGCTTCTACTGCAATGACCAAATGCTTTTGAGTGTTTGTTTAAGTAACAAGACTTATTGAGCAACCAACTCTTAGACCTAGTCTATCTACTCCAGAGCATCTATATACCTTCCGAGACTTGTAAGAAGGTGCAAACTAGGTCGGTTCGAGGGGCTGCAACCGGACACCACTCCAGCACCAGGACCTTACCTCGCCTGACCTCAGGAACCTCTGTCTCATCAACGTCATGTAAAGGGCTATATACAGCAAAATAACATATAAATCTCTCCTCTATTCTTCTCTGTTCGATGGTTCAAAGAAGGCTATCCGCTGACCTCGTTAAATGCATGTCAATTTACATACGGAATGACTGGTTTCAGCAAGACACTTCGTCCAGAGACTTCGCTCCTCCTCTGCGGCACGTGCTTGACTTGGGGGGCGCATCTCAGGCACTGGAAGCCCCTCTATAGTGACGGACACCCGCTTCGAACAACATTTGAAAAACAAAAAAGAGCCACAGAATCCACAGAATGCCACAGATAGATAAGCCAACGTTCTACAGTGATTAAAGTGGGTGTCTGACACTATAGGATTTCTGTTTTGCCCAAAAGACTGTGGTGTGCGCTTCACAGGCGCAGCCCTACATTCGGCCAATCTCGGGTCCCTTCCATGTCGGAAAAAGGTTTTGACGCCCCGCGTTCGGCCTGCAACAGGAGCCTGGCACCAAATTCCAGCGAGACGAAGAAATGCAAAGCAAAACTTCTGTCCAAGTCGCTCATTGATCCGACGTGATGTGCTGAAAACAAGAAGTCATGAAGGTCATGAAGTTTATTTGTTCAAACAGGATGGTTTTGGCATGCTTTCGCTGAATGTACTGATGCAATGGAGAGCTCATGTTTACAACAAGTGTTTGCCATCCGCTTGGGGGATCGAGATCCAGATATTTGTGAGGGGAGTAGACACTCAGACGGCCATCTCGGATCCGGCCTCCATCTCAGAGATTGAGAAAGAGTTCTCTGGCCCCGGCATGAAGGTCACGCCGCGCTTGGTCTCAGACCGAGCGAGGAGGTGTGGTGGATCGGTAACCCCTTGGCCCTTGGCCCTATGAGTGCAACAGAAGGACTAAACCAATGCATGGACATGGTCCGTTTGGGGCCATGATGTTGGAGTTCCATTTCTTGGATATATATATATATATTTAAAATTAACTTAAGAATTTGGAAATATTCATATTGTATAATAGATAACTTTTGTTGGATATATCTTAAATTGCATCTTAATTTAACTTGAGCTTCCAAACATCAGAACATACCCTCCTTTCCCAAGAAGTTCACACTGACATCCAAGACGACCCCCAACATATCAAAACACCTTTGGGATTTTGGTTGCTAGTAAACTCGGGGGATCCAACTGGATGTCCACTGGGCTCCCCATCCGGCGACTTCTCCTCCTTCTCCTCCTCGCCTGGGCAGGGATGGTGTCAGGTGGGAATTCCAAGAGGTGGAGTCCCATGAATTGCCATATACCAGCGGCCTTCAAGGAGTGTCTATCTATAGACCAACCTCATGTAGGTCAACTAAGGCTTAGCGGTTAAGTGTCCATGAACACCACCCCTTGTGGGTCCTGGTAGATAGGGAAGCATATCCTTGGTTGACCTACATGAGGTTGGTCAAGCTCTATGGTGGACTGGTCGGGCTCCAGGTGTTTAGAAGATTACTTCAGCGATCCACCCCTCTCAGGGTCATGTTCATAGTTAAGGCAAACTGCCTACCATTCATTGAGTGAATCTAGACACTCGTGGTAGACATCACATGGTGGATGCATGTCCACTATTCATTGCCTCATGTGATTCCTGTCCTTTATGTTGAGCCAGAGATCCTTTTAACCCTTAGACACTCGTCCCCGGACGGGAGCGTTGCTGCTCAACCCGTGCCACCGGTAAGGCTCCTTGGTTCGGTTCTCTCGTCTCCCACCGAACGGCATGGTTGCCAGACCCACAGAGAATCAGTCCAAAGGGGTGGATGAATAGGAGGGGTGGCCTAATGAACCCACAGGGCCCCGTGGAGAGACTTCATGAGGCCAACCCCACCGAAGCGCCAATCCACCCTGACGCGTCATCTTCGCTTGCGCCGACGCTTCGCCCTAGCGCCCTGCCTGAGAGCTCTTTGGATCCCTGTCGAAGAAGCAGGTCATGCTGACCGGGGTTGGTCATCTCTTGGTATACAAAGGGCCGGTAAGGCGCAGCAAAAAGGAGGATCGATGTTGGAAAATGATCCATGTTGGAAAGGCCGGCAAATTACATGGTCTATATGGATGGTTACTGAGCATCGTTATATAAGTGTTGGTGAAACCACATTGTCGGGTCAGACCAAAAATGCACTCTGGATCAACACTCATGGGTCTCCAAATCAACCCTGAAGAACCACACCATTTGTCAGTATATCAGGTATATGAAGATTGTCAGAACCCCAAATCAGAGCCTCATCTTTAAGATCTGGGAGCCCCACCTGCCGTTTTAGCTCCGGAGCCAGGTACAAGACCTTTTTTGTTGGAACAAATACACCTCTATCGTCTGAGCCACACAGAAACACTGGTCAACTCCCAAGACCCCCTGTCGGGGCCAAGTCTTGGCGTTTGAGTGGTCCAAAACCAGTCCAAACCAGTCGCCTCTGCAGAAGACTCGCAAGTCCTAGTCGACAGGCAAGATATTTACTAGTGGGACTGCTGCTGCATTCCTCCTATACCGACCCCAAGTATTTTAATAGCCGAATAGCCTCTCAAATTCCCCCAAGTTCATTCTTTCACGTCCTTCTCTTCAACACATAGCTATCGACAGTCTTTCACCGGAATGCAGGCACAGCATAGCACGCGCAGCGGCCGTGGCCTTCCTCCCAGCTCCTCCTTCCACCGCGGTCAGCGGCTCGCGCTCACGGCGCGCCGACCACGGAAGGCGCGCGACCCGCCTTGCGGAAGGTCCGCGACAGGCGCAGCGGTGGCGCCACCAGCGCCAGGGTGCTGCCACCGCCCTCCGGCGCGGGTTCTTCCGTGTCCTGGCCGGTGTGTTGGGGCACGGCGGTGGGTTCATACGGTGGAACACAAAGGAGAGACAGCAAATGGTATTTGAAGAGAAAGTCACCAAAGTCACCAAACAGGTCTAAAACATTCTCAAAAACAGCAACAATGACCACGTTGTTAGGGATTCACACTATTAAAATCATGCATTGCTGTTGGAAGATGGAGCAAAAACTACCCGCTTGGCCAGACTGGTTCACAGAGCCAGTATGGGAGAACACCAGTTCGAAGAGGTTCGATTATCATCTTTGGGTATTGCACCAAGCACCGGGTTCCATGAGAAGCTCTCTTCATAGATGTTTCTTCCGAGCTTCTTCCGCATGTGATCAACAGATCCACCACGTACACGCATGCCATGCCCATGCATAAAACACGCTCAACCATCTCCAATGTGTCTTTTTTCCCACTCGAAAGACTCGGACCGTTGCGGGGGAAACGATGCAGGGAAGGGATGCACGTCACCTGGTGGGGTCCCGGCAGAGTCTCCTTGCCGGCATACTTCTGAAGCATCTGCACGGACTCTTGGACCTGCTCCGGGAGAAGTGGCGGATGAAGCGGCGCGGCGCTGCCACGGTCCCCGAGGGGTTGGTCGGATGCGGCGCTGCCACGGTCTCCGGATGAACTCAAGGTCCACTTGTTCAAAGACTTCGGGCAGGAAGAACAAGTCTCAAGGTCAACATCACCAACTTTTCTGAGAGAATTGGTTTCTGTATGTTTTCTTTTTTTAAGTGCTGTGTGCAACAGGTAGGGTTGAGTAAGACAGACACGAACAAAGCGAAGGTAGTTGAAGCAGCCTGCAAACGTCAAGCAACCACGCGAAGGTGTTCTTTCCAACAGCACCTGCTACACCAACCCTTCAAGCTGTTGCACCACGCCGCCACGCCCATCCACCAGGTGGTCTTGTGAGTCTTGCATCAAAGCAACCTTCCCCAAAAACGTCCCAAGTTGGGTCTTCTGATCTTATCTATGTAGAGCCATGGCTCTTCGGTGTCCGGCTTCGCCCCAAAACCCCCATGCGACCGCGAGGACCGTCGTCGTCGGGACACGGCCGCCGCCGCCGCGCCGGGCCTTCGCCAAGCCGCTCTGAATCTCCGACAGGAGCCCTTCGAAGGTCCTGAGAGACCAGAGACCAGACCGCCCAGGTCGCCGAGCGCTGAGGGCTTGCGCTGTGTTGAATCGCTCCAGGTCACGGGGGTTATTTAAAAACATATAAAATAAGCGAGGTCAAAGGAACGGAGCGTTGGTATACTCATAGTGGGTTGAAGAACTTGAATGATCAACAGGTGCTTCATGCAACCTCAAGTTTGCATTGAACAACAACAACAACAACAACAACAGCAACAGCAACAACAACAACAACGACATGCTACATCACCCAAACATTTAAGGGATTCATATATTGCAACATCACAAAAGGAAATAGCATGAAACGGCCATCAAATCAAGTAGTGCCTTACTTTGTACATCAACCGAATGTTGTCAAACCAGTGCGTTCCAAGCAAGCTCGACTAAAGTCATCAGTCTGCTCATGTTGCATGTGATCAGCAACACGTGAACTAGCCAGAGGGCTCTTTTGCGAGGAATATGACATGACATTACAGATCAACTCCTAGTATTTCACCCAAACAAAACATGTTGTTAACTTTGCGTGAAGATCATGATGTTCCAATGAGCCCTACAGTTAGTCTATATCCCACCCTTACATACTCCTTCTAGATCAACGTGGAAGTTGTATCTGAAAATCCCTTTGAAGCACCGGCACCCGGTATATCACTGCTGCTTGACAAGGCGTCCGTTCCCTACAACTGCACATGAAAGAACAAACTAACACTCCTTAGCCTAATTGTCTATAGCAGAAAACTTCACCAAAGTCCGTCTTTCTAGACCTTCCTGCTCGGGAGTGTCCTGGCTGGAGATCCGTAGTATGTAGTACGTAGCGTATTTTCCAGCCGGGAGACCTTCTTATGGGAAGGTCCATCTAGGAGAATGATGGCTGCGATTGCGAATGTCTGGCTGTCAAAAGCCGAATGAATTCGTTGAATCTACCGAGACAGAGTGCAGTAGATTGGACTGGCCTTATGCACAACATCCCCACATCGCCCACCCGCGAAAGAAAAAAAAAACATCCCCACTGTGCCAGCGAGCATCTGGTCTGCCGCCGCCATGGGTATTTTGGTATTGTGCGGATCCCAAGGGGTTGCAGGAATCCGTTTCTTCGACAATCAAGCAAACAACATGCATAATTCTTGTAGAAGTGACCCTTGTTCAATCTTGTAGTGACACTGCAAATAAATGCTTCATCTGACCTGAAAGGAAGAAATGGTCAAGAGCCATGGGGCAGAAAGAGGGGGGATGCTCCATATGGGTGTATATTAAATTAGGGAGACCCCACAAAGACCTCTGGGAAGATCAAAAGCAGACTGAATCCATTGGTTGTTGGGAGGTCCCTTGATTAAAATACGAACCCATATCACTGAAATTCACTGAGTATCACTATTGGTTCGTGCTAAGAAGGATCCACCAGTCCCCCCAACTACTCTTCCTATCTATCTAAGGATGGGCCACCACGTCGCAAAGCATTTGAGTCTTCTCCGGTTCAACGTTGTCTTGAGCCGCAAGACATTGGCCACGACATCCGTGGATTGAGACATTAGTTATTGGCAAATATCATTCTGCAATATTCTGTACGATCATCATAAACAAGTCCGAGTCCTACCAATGTGGTCAAAGTTGGTCATCATCGGTCTTTTGGGGGTGGATTGGCCACCCAACACATTCTCAATTTGGTATTGCCTCTGAGGGTGTAAAAAAGAACTGCTGCAAACTTAAAAGAAACTGTCTGTCTATACATGCATATCAAAGTGTAGCAATAACATGAAGAACTGGAGTGTGAGATGATGTCTGTAGAAATCCTCTTAACCACGTATTACATGATACCTATAACGGCCGGGCACTTGTCCGGGCAGTTTTCCAGCATCATGGGACCCCTCTCCCGCTCTAGTATCGAGGTATATATAAACTCCGGGTGGAGGACACAAAACAAGTCCATGCGAATGGACAGATCCACCTCGTGCGCCAGGGCCGCCAGAGCCGCCAGGCTTGGCAAATCCGCAAGGCAGCCGTACGTACCCGAAAGCCTTCATTGGACCCTCCCGAAAGAAGCAACTGGGGCCGCCCGCGCTGTGCAAATGAGAACTCGCGTGGCCCAAGTGCATCAAGCAGCAGGTCACATGGAGCTCGACCTGCCGGATGGTGGTGGGGCGCATGTTTGCACACCACCGAGAAGCCCGCTTCCAAAACTCCTGACAAATGACATCCTACACCACCTCAATGGATGTGTTTTTCATGAACTTGTCGAGACTGTGATAATCTATTCACATGTCTCGTTTCTTCCGGTTGAAACTACTCGCAAACGACCCGCAAACAGGAAAGGAAAAGCGACTATAGGGTCGTTTCCCAAGAATCCCCAAGTCTGTGAGAAAAGGACACCTCGTGAGCTGCCTATCCCAGGATCCACGCAGAGTAGAAACTGCAAACCGACAACGACCAACCTGGAACTAGACCTCTTGTGAAAGGAAACCTAACCTCGTCGCCCGCCGCGCCCGTGTGTCGCGCCTCTCGAAGCAATCGAATCTCTTTCTGGCTGAGGACGAAAGTGGCGGGAGTGCCTTCCTGCTCTGCCTGCGCTGATCAGGCGGTCTTGGACGGACCAGTACTTCAAAACACCCTGAAATGGATCCCACCTGCCAAAGAACCAGGGTTTCTATATGATTTCTATATGTTTCTACTAAGTGTCTCCATCCTCCATACTACTGACTGAACTGACACATGAGGTTGTAGCAATGTTTTTTGTTCCACCCCCTACAGCAGTACCCCTCCGACAAGGCCAAAATAAGACCTAAACAGTATTGCTGGTAAACCAAACATCTTCAAGAGCATCACCTCTTCAAATAAGTTCTAAGCTCTTTTGCTCATGAATATGTTTTAAAGAATTGAGTTTATATATGTTTGATTCAGAAACCTGGCGTCTCTTTCTAAAAGGTTTCCATCAGTTCGTTATGAAATCCTTTATTCAATGTTATTCAATTGTAAGATCAACTCCACAAAAGAAGTAGCCCAGTAATCTAGAAATATTGTATAATATCACCCCGTAAACTATGTCTACCTGTTTGCTGGTGTTTATTGTGTAAATGGAATGAATTCCGGTGCTTTCATAACAATAGACTAATTATATAAACAATATCCTATTTACAAAACCAGTTACCCATTCCACCCGATCCCAAAAGCTTTGAGCGCCAGCTCTCTAGTTGAAACCCTTTATTCAAACTTATTAAAACTTATCATCAATTTCACAAAGGCATTGCCCAGTAAGCAAGAACATTTAGTAAAATCACCTCGTTCATGGAGGTCCATCGCCTGGCTTGATTGTCCATCGCTTCTGCCCACCGGATGACCGAAGCCGCTGCCTCCAGGCCCGACCAAAGCCGCTGCCTGGGCGTCCGGTAGATCGGTTCAACCCAAAAGCAACGAGAGACGAAGCGTAGGAATTTGGGAAGAGAGCCCCCCCCAATGGTTGGAAGCCGTTTCGAAACACAGCTTCGAACACCAATAAGTTGACGAGATCTTGCTAATACACATTAACCAATCACATGGACGTGATATTCGGCCGTTGGCTTGGTGTGGAACGCACATTTCACAACTTCTTGCAGTGGAGTCCAGAGTTCACCCACCCCCAAAAGGTATCGTGTCTCATCGTCTGTGTTGGAACGAAGAGTGACCCCAAAAAGCTCCCGTTCCATGCTATTCATTGGGGCGTTTGCTTTGATGATCTACTACTGGGTGCTGAGATGTCCAATCACACGGGGCTGCCATTCGCTTCAACTTGACGGGGGTCAAAACTGCACCCCACGTATGCCCAAAAACAACCCGACAACATCACAAATAAACAAGCACCTTCCAAGCGTTGACAAAACCAAAGGTCCTTATAATCTTGTCAGTGGTCTATCAGAAGATCCCACGAAGACCTTACACGGTGATTCTCCACCATCTCCCCATGCCCTCCCAGTGCAAGCTGCCACAAGGGACACTCCAAGCGCACACGGCGATACAGCGCACCGCCTCGAGGCGCTGGTGGAGGCCGGCAGGCGGGCAACAACTGACTGGAGGTCCAAGGTATCACCACCATTCGCTAGACACTCCAGTGTGGAAACTAGTTGCATGATGTTGCATGCATTTTGACCCTATATACTGTCAGTAACTATTCCTTACATGGATTCAATGGATGGTCTAGGATCCACAAAACACATTGCCGATTTGGCATGGAGTCCCTGCTGAGAAGCTGGCACTGCAGTTTGTATTTGCCCCCACTGATGATGCTCTTGGCATCTTGCATGCTCAGCCGCCGTCCAAAACGGCACACAGCAAAATGTATGCTGTCTTTTCCCAAGTGACCAGGCTTTCTGGATGCTGTTATGATGACGATGGGTTCACAATGGTTTACATGATCTTATAAGGCTGTGGGTCAGGAGATCATGCTTGAACTACACAATAACTACATGGTTGATCTCGCTGGTGGTCGGGCTCCAGGTGGTGGATGGGTCATGACCGATCTTCCAACTATGCAAAATGTCGGCCTTTTAGCTGGTTTCTCATAGATGAAAAGGCAAACATCTTGCACAGTTCGAAGATCCAGGTATGTTTCACTTCAGACATCGACCCAGGCAGCGAACCGGCCCGGCTGCGACGTCGCCTGCTGAGCTTTGCCAGTCCTCAGGATTGGCAGAAGGTGTGAAGTCCCACAAGGCCCTTTTCGAAGGTGATTGGAGACTCTTTTATGATCTTTTATGTAGGTTTGCAGGGTCCAGTCGTACCGAACCTGAGAGGGTATGTGGATCCCTAAAAAAATACGCTTCTCACTTCGTGGACAGAGCTCTGGTTGGCCAGTTGAATGACTTGGGGCTGAAACCTGCCAAAGAGAATCCACGAAAGAAAATCATCAACTGATCAGTGCACTTGCATAACTGATCAGTAGTGCTCAAAAAACGGAGCATAACACACACCCCAAAGAAGAACATCAACAAAAACACACAAAGGGACACACGAAATCCCACAGAAAACCCCCCATTTGCCTCCTCCGTGATGCTGGTTTCACTCCGCTCACGCCGCAGGCGGAGCTCCTGGTGCGGTCGGAGCGACCGTCGGAGCGACGGTTGGACCTGGCTTCGGACGGGTTGGTAAGGATTAAGGGCATGGGGCTTTTAATGATTTTTGGGGTTGTATAAGTATTCAACCAAAAACGTATCATGTGTCAGGAACTGTGACAGCGTTTAAGCAAAAAGGGCTCGTTCTACTATATGATTCCTTTTCACAACAGACCAAATTCTGGACACAAGCCCTTAATGGCGTCATCGTCAGGGTCCAAAGGCGTCCTTCGCCACCCGCACAGGGGGCCCTCCGATCGGATGACGGTGGACTGAGGATCTGTAGCACCCGACCCGACAGGTGACTCTTCGTAAGACGGGCACGGGCGGCCCACAACCCTCAACTAGAAAGAGTTTTGGCAGTGAGGCTACTGGTATGGTGTTGAGGCAAGCAAAACAAGCTGTCCAACAACTATGAAGCAGTCTTGGCAGGTGAACATGATCAGCAAATAGAAACACGAGTCACGAGTCCTGTAGGTTAGGAAGCTCTAACTTCTCCACGAGCAATGCCACCTCAGTCGGTCAAGTGCGTCGGGCGTCGGACTGGCGTCCGGATGCGAGCCACTATAGGGATGCGTCAGATGTGTTTGAGTTGACGAAACAGGGTGGATCATGGGAGGTGCGGGTTGGAAGTAGCCTTCTCAGCTGATCATCATCATCGTCGTTGTCGTCGTCATCATCATCATCATCATCGTCATCTTTGTCATCTCCATCGTCATCGTCATCATCATTGTTAACGTGGTGGAATTGCGAAGCAAGGGTGACAGCTTCTCGTGAGCTACTCGCAAAGACATGTTGCTGCTGTTGAGAGTGATAGCAAAATTCCATCCAAGTACCACCAGTGACAAAAGTGCGTGGTGCACAGCTTTCCGTGGATCCAGAACACGATTGCAGGAGAACGGTCTGACAACTATGTGGAATCCCCCAGCAACGAGTCTTAAAGGCTTTGAGAGAACTAGCAAAATCCCCCAGTTTGGTACTCCCATCGAGTCAATCTAGCCATCCCAACCTGCCAACACA